TTTAAGTTTCTCTTGAACTCTTCAAGTATGGTGTAGTTTCAATGTTCAATGGAGTGAATAACTAATTTAATGCGCAACATGTTTTAATTTGTGATCTGGAACTTTTGCATGAAGGTCATTGGGGTTGGATAATGATGTAATTTTACTGTTAAACCTTAGTTTCCGTAAGCTTTGGAAGATCTGGAATAGTTAGACTTCGTTTAATACCACTTATAAGGATTATATTTCTCAATCTGATCTGGAAAACAAAACAATGTACAAGTATACTTTTCTCTTCAAAAAATTTCTATTGGCTATAAACTAAACTGCATGTAGTCTATCAAGATCTAGTCATACTAGAGATGATGTCAAGGAAAGTGTCCTCAGGACAAGGTATCGTAAGTCCACCCATTGGATGATCAAACCCGAATTCTTCTTCAGCTTGAGTAAGCAAGTCTTGAAATGAATGCTCCTTCAAGTATGAAATCGGAATGACATAGCGCTTCTTTTCGCTCTTGCCTACATAAACTGCAAAGTGACCCTTAGGAACCTCATTGTCTCTGTTTGTTCTTGAAGAGGACCTTCTGAGACCTTGTTTACCACGAAGAATGTGCCCCATACTAATTGCCATGGTCAAAATGTTTCTTTTCAAAGTATAGGCAGTGCTAATTCAAGAAATTAAGATCTTTGTGTAGGATGTAGTTGAATGTGTTGTGAATACCAACGGAAGAAGTGTGTTTATATAGATCCTTAGTAGGTTGAATAAATGGCTTAAAGAGTTCAAGGGTGGGTGGGCAGCCAGCTAGCATGACTAGGACACATTTGCACATGTTAATCCGTCTGTTTGGATGAATCACATTATTTGGAAGCAAAACCATGTGAATGTGATTCCTCATTTATGTGGAACATGGTTTTGACTTCAATTACAACTGATTTGGCTTGGGGATAGCCATAGGGATGGGGTAGGGTGGGGTGGGGGGCATGCATTTTTCTCATAAACACTTTGAATAGATAACTTCCATATGTATTTCTCTTATAGAAAATGTTTTATATAACTCGGTCCAACCAACACTTCAAATATCTACTGATTTTCTGTTCTCCCTTTCAATTGTTCTCTTTCTTCCAAGTTCATACCTTAATCAGTTGCAATACGCTTATCAGGTTATCAAAAAGAAGGCAGAAGTTCACGGCCATCCAAAGAAAGGGGATTACACTTTCCGAACTAAATAATGATGCATATAGTTGCGCTTGTTCATCCTCAGTGAGCAAAGGTCGATTTCTATCTATACGGCAGAAAAGAAGCGGTTTCTTGTGCCTCTTTCTTATCTCAACAATGAGATTATTGTCTTATTCAGTTTGTGACGATTAGATTGTATATATATTGCTGTCCTAAACTAAAAAAATGCACCATCCACTTTCTTTAGTATTTGAGCTGAATATACTGATCATTATTTTGATCTGAACTCATTAATAGCTTTCTCATTCATTTACAGTTTGATCTATAATTAAAAGCTTATTGCATATGAAGATGTTTGCAATAGAATAATGAATGTTAAACAGATCCAATTGCAGATTTGAAATACAAAAAATGTCAATCCCAATTTCTGTATAAAATATAACTGCAGATTACTGGTTCAGGCCATAGTTATATTCATATGTTTCACTATGGCCTGTCTAGATAAACTAAACAGTAGTCGGAAAGAATTGAAATAGTCTTAAATCATAAATATTTTCTCTTTAAACTACATTCTGATCTAAAATATGTACTTAATCATTTATTGCATATAACTTTATACGGATATAACTACAACTGATAAGATGGTAAATAAAAAAGTGTAACCTTCAACCTCTTTATTTATGCTTCTTTAATATTGCACTGTAGTTTCAGTATCCATGGTATTGGATAATAACCTTAGTGAAGTTGGTCGCCACTGTACGTGTGCACTGATAGAGTATGTTGTCCTTGGAAATTATTAACCTTAATATGTATTATGTAGATTGTTTCTTTTATGCTTTTCAAGAAAGGGAAAATCCAGAACTGCATATACTCTACTGCTGAGTCATAGTGTTCGTATACTTCGAAGAATTATGAATAATAGGACTTCCTTTCTTACCAGTTAAAGAAGGGGATCAGAAGTAATAAATAGACAGAGGTACTGATAAAATTTAAAAAATTGTATTTCCAAATCTGGTTGGGAAAAAATGTAGAACACTGTACAAGAAAAATATTCTCTACATATTGTTCTGTTGACTACTAAGATGTCTGAAGTCTATCAAGATCTACTCATACTAGAGAGGATGTCAAGGAAGGCGTCCTCTGGGCAAGGTATTGTAAGTCCACCCGTTGGATGATAAAACCCAAACTCTTCTTCAGCTTGACGTAACAAGTCTTGGAATGAGTGATCCTTCAGGTATGAAATCGGAATGACAAAGCGCTTCTTCTTGCTCTCCCCTACATAAACAGCAAAGTGACCCTTAGGGACCTCACTCTCTCTGTTTGTTCTTGAAGAAGATATTCCGAGGCCTTGTTTACCATGGAGGATTTGGCCCATACTGATTGCCATATTCAAATGTATCTTTACGAGTTAGAGAAAGTGTAAATTCGGGAGAGTGAGATCTTTGAGGATGATATAGTTGAGTATGTGTTGAATACCAACTGAGGAAATGTGTTATATAGATCCTTTTAGGAGGTGGAAGAAGTCGCTAAGAGAGTTCAGGGTGGGGCACCCAGCTAGCATGGCTGGGACATTTGTACATTGTTCTGTCCTTTAAGATCATCTAAATATATTCTAATAACTTTGTGGCTAAAAAGCAGTCACTAGACACAATTCCCTACGTTTTTCAAAGATCAACTGAATGCCAGATGTGACTGGTTCCTTTGTTTGGGTGAATGAGATGATTTGGAATCATAACCATGTGATGTGATTCCCAAGTTTATGCGGAACATGGTTGATTCCCTTGTCTTATTTACTCAAAATCTTCATTGCCATTCTCTCTTAAACATGAATGATCTCATACGTGTGTCATTTTGTTCATCAAACATTACAAATCAGTACAACCAAGATATGTCTGAGGTTTGTACATGTTATGTAATCTTCCATTTATTCAAATGTATCTTTACAAGTTAGAGAAAGTGTAAATTCAGGAGAGTGAGATCTTTGAGGATGATATAGTTGAGTATGTGTTTAATTACTTGAATACCAACTGTGGAAATGTGTTTATATAGATCCTTTAGAAGGTGGAAGAAGTCGCTAAGAGAGTTTAGGGTGGGGGCAGCCAGCTAGTATGGCTGGGACATTTGTACATGGTTCTGTCCTTTAAAGATCATCCAAATATATTCTTATAATTTTTGCTAAAAAGCAACCACTAGACACAATTCCTTACGTTTTTCCAAGATCAACTGAATGCCAGATGTGACTGATTCATTTGTTTGGGTGAATGAGATGATTTGGAATCATAACCATGTGATGTGATTCCCCATTTTATGCGGAACATGGTTGATTCCCTTGTCTTATTTACTCAAAATCTTCATTGCCATTCTCTCTTAAACATGAATGATCTCATACGTGTGTCATTTTGTTCATCAAACATTACAAATCAGTACAACCAAGATATGTCTGAGGTTTGTACATGTTATGTAATCTTCCATTTATTTTCTGTCCCTTTCTATGTTCTCATTGAATACCATGATCAGTTCTAGGAAGCTTCTCAAGCTAGCAGAAAAGGGCAGAAGCTTGTTTCCATCCGTATAACAAGGAACACATCTACAACTTCGAGTTTCATCTGATCGAGTTTCATCATACCAGGGTGTTTATCATTTTGGTGGACCAAAGTAAGATATGGTGGAGAAACTAGGAACTTCAAATATATGCTAAGATCTGAAAATACGGGCATGCAGAGAAAGTAGAAGTGGAGTTCTTGTTGATTCATGTTCGAAAATCTGATTTTAGAACCAGATTTTTTTGTTGTAAATGATTGACAAGACTCTTAGTTCATAGATTTTGTTATCAGCATAGAGGCGTGTATTGTTATTTAGTGCTTATTTTGTTATTATGTTTTAAGACAATAAACAAAAAACATTATTTTTTTTATACATCGGAAAAGAATAAACAAAAAGCATTATGCCTGATAAAAATAGTGAGTTCTTAGTTGTAGTCTGTAGATGAACAAGGTGTCACACATAAATTATTAACTTTCCGTTCTTAATTTTTGTTCTACTAAACATATGCTCCGTAATAATTATGTATACTGGTGTTGATAGACAACTTTGGAATGCTTCTCCCACTTCAGGTTGCTTGATCTACGTAAGAATTATATTTCTTGTTTGCTGTCAAATATTGTTCTATTTTAAATTCAGATTTAACTCCTACAAGTTGACAACTTCAACTTTCTAGTTTCAAGTACTTTAAATTCCTCTGGTGCCCTTAGAATTCGATTGTCTTCTTGTTACGAAAAACATAAAGTTATATCATCTTCATTAAGTTGTTCTGAGATCATTAATGAAAGTTACTTGACTGCGTTTGTCCTATTTTGTTTGTCTCTTCTTTCATTTGTAGGCTGTCCAAAATTGTTTGTACCATTCCAAGTTCCGCTGGTTTTGTGGCACACTATCACTCCTAATTTTACAAGTTAAATAACCAGACGATATCAGTGTTCCTTTACATATGTTCCAAACTCCATGTCCGAACTTAATGGAAGTGATGCAGTATAAAAACATGAACTACTCTTCTCTTTATTTCTTAACTCAAGATGCTACATGTTTTATTTACTATCCTAATCAGTCATTACATGTGATTCTATAAGTTAGGTTACCCTGCTATGCAGAAGGCGGAAATTAGGGGCTTATTGATCTATAATAAAATGTAATAAAAGGATAGTAACAAATTAAATATTTTTCCGTGAAATTCCACAGAACTCTTCAAGTCTTCATTTCAGGTAGTCTAAAATTGCAGTATAGATTTAATATTTTCGGAAGGAGAGATACAGATATAGAAATGGTTTAATTTTTCTGCTGCTGAATCTTAGTTTCCTAATCTTTGGAGATATATTGAATAATTAGACTTCTTGTTTTACAACTTGAAGGTGTTCACGATAAGCAATGAATGATAAAGTGCTGATAAATATAAATGTATGTTCTAATTGCCAAAGTTGTTCTACTGACTAACTATAAATATAAATGCATGTTCTAATATCAAGAGGAAAAGAGATAGAACTCTGTACAAGAATAATTCGCTCTCCAAAGTTGTTCTACTGACTAACTATATAACCTACGATTTTGTCTAAAGTCTATCTAGATCTACTCATACTAGATATGATGTCGATGAAGGTATCCTCCGGACAAGGTATTGTGAGTCCACCCATGGGATGATCAAAGCCAAACTCTTCTTCAGCTTGACTTAGCAATTCTTGGAATGAGTTGTCTTTCAAGTATGAAACTGGAATGACAAAGCGCTTCTTCTCGCTCTTGCCTACATAAACTGCAAAGTGACCCTTAGGAACCTCACTCTCTCTGTTTGTTCTTGAAGAGGACCTTCTGAGGCCTTGTTTACCACGGAGGATGTGTCCCATACTGATTGCCATATTTTTGTAGGAAGTTTTAGTTGAAGGCAAAAGCTCTGTTTGTATGAAGCTAGAAAACCTTGAGTTGAGTGGGTAGAATATTAACTGGAATGTGTTTATATAGATATGGTCCTTTAGGAAGTTAGAGAAGTTTGGCTTGGAAGGGCATCCAGCTTGCAGGATATGAAATTAGGATAGCTCAACCACTCCTGTCATCACCACATGCTTTGTTCTTCCAAAAAGCATCAATAATGTCTACCAACTGCCATGTAGGTAAAGGACATCATTCCCCACTTCATTCAATCAAATTGTGAAAGCTCAACTACTCAAGAAAAGTCTACCAAATGAGAGATGAAGATGAATCGGTCAGTTAAAAAAGGAAAGTTGGAAGAAATGACCGGGACGGAGGGAGTATTTATTAGGAAACAAAACCATGTGAATGCGTTTCCTCATTTATGTAGGACATAATTTGGCCTTCTCTAATTCAATTTGAAACGCTCCATGGAACAGGGGCAACGTGGTTGAAGCTAAAACAAACACACCATTGACAGGCATGTTCTTTAAACATGGTCTTGACCTCAAAACGCTCAAGGGACACATCCCTGTGCATTTTCACTATTAAAATCTGCAATTTAGCATATTTTGTACCTATCTAGAGTCTAGTAACGTTCTATTCATCAAGCTAGCTGAAGGCTGGTAGAAGTTGACTGTCCTCAGCAGAAAGGTTTTCAAGACTGGACTACTTAATGGTTAGAGTACTTTTTGAAGAGTCAGCAAGGGTCACTTTTTCGATATATACTACTAATCAAAAGCAGTTCCTTGTTCGCTATCTTATATTGACAATGAGATTGTTTGGCAACTCTCTTAGACCTGTCTGAACTCTGAATAAAATACTTCGAAAGAACTGGAATAATTAGACAAGATAACCAAAAAATTCAGACAAACCCATTGATAAAATGTTGAACAATATATTTCTCATTCTGATCTGGAACAAACATTATATACAAGTATACTTTTCTAATCAAAATTGGTTCTACTGGCTACAAACTACGCTGCATGTAGCCTATCAACTATCAAGATCTACGCATACTAGAGATGATATCAATGAAGGTCTCCTCTGGACAAGGTATTGTAAGTCCACCAGTTGGATGATCAAACCCGAATTCTTCTTCAGCTTGACTTAGCAGGTCTTGGAATGAGTTGTCGTTCAAGTATGAAACCGGAATGACAAATCGCTTTTTCTCGCTCTCGCCTACATAAACTGCAAAGTGACCCTTGGGAACCTCACTCTCTTTGTTTGTTCTTGAAGAAGACCTTCTGAGGCCTTGTTTGCCACGGAGGATGTGTCCCATACTGATTGCCATATTCTTATATCTCTAGAAATTAGAGGAAGTGTTGATTCAAGAAAGAGAGATCTCTGTGCAAGATGTAGTTGAGTTTGTTGTGAATACCAACTGAGGGAATGTGTTTATATAGATCCAATAGGAGGTGGAACTAATGGCTAAGAGAGTTTAGTGTGGGGGTAGCCAGCTAGCAGGACTGGGACACATTTGCATATGGTTTTGTCTTTCAAAGGTCATCCAGAAATGTACAATTAATTCTGTAGTTAAAGAGTTGTCACTGGCCGGACATAATTCCCTACATGCTTCAATGCTCAACCTACTGCCAGATGTCACTGATCCATTTGTTCGGATCAATCGGATGATTTGGAAACAGACAAACCATGTGAATATATGTGATTCCTCATCTTTGTGGAACATTGGTTTTTGCTTGTCAATTCTTCTTAAGCAGTTTAAATTGATGATCAATCACTACAAATCTGTCTGAGGTTCCTGCAGATTTTGTGATCTTCCATTCAATCTCTCTCTTTCTCTATTTGCTTATTTAATACCATGATAAGTTATAAGAAGCTCCTCTAGCTTGAAAAAAAGATGGTTGGAGTTTGCTTCCATCCAGAGAATGCATTTACTAGTCTAGTTTCTTATTTATACTAAGGCTGCTCATCATTTCACCAAGATAAGTTGAAGGGATCACGAACTTCAAGTACATGCTATGTTTGGTGATGTTGAAGTCAATGTTTCTGTTGTATGGGGGGCTAGACTGGCTTAATACATTTTGTTTTATGCCCAGAGGTGTTTTTTTTTTTAAATTATATTTGGTTCCCCTTCACTAGATTGTTCTAAATCCATTAGTGAAATTAAACCTTATAAACTATGTAAAATTTTCCTCTTTATATAATTAGAGCTGTGCTAGGTGTACACTTTTTGGTGTACACCTTTCGTATACTCGTCTGTCTCACGCACACAGACAACTCTACAGGGCCCTACAGAGTTGTCTGTGCATAGACAACTCTGTGTGCGTGAGACAAACGAGTGTACGAAAGGTGTACACCAAACATTTTTCATATAATTATTAGTTTATCTAAAATTGCAGTGTGGTTTTTGAGTCAAGAGCCTGCATGCATTTTTTATTATCTTCACTTCATGTGTTCTTGTGCTACTCATAAACCTGGACTACTCTGGTAGACTCCAGACAAATTGTGGAAATAGGGGGCTTGTTGATCTATAACAAAATGTAACAGAATGAAACAACAATGATACAGTTTCATTTAGAGCTCTTTTTGTACATAAGGTATACTACACAGTAACCGTATTGGTTGGTCTTACAAAATACAAACAGATTACAGTGCTTTACATAATAGAGTCGTATGGTCTTAGATTAAACATTAAGGGCTCCTTGTAAGTCCCTCATTCCCTATCAGCTAAACTCTCTCCCAGCAAATGGGAAGGAAAGTAAATTGAACTAGGCAATAAAGAACTTGTTTGTTTCATATTTCTGCTGTGGTTTTTGTGTTGAATAGCTAAAAACATTATGGCCATTGCAAGCTGCCTCCGAGAGAGGCTTAAACTACGCTACAGCTATGCGAATGGAAAAAGCCACATCAAAAAGTCCCAATTTCCGCTTCTTAATGGCCTTCTGCTACCGCACTCCTCTCCAAGAGACTGCACAAAATGGAGAAATTTATACCATTTCAGAGAAGGCTTATTGCAAAACTATGGCCTATATATGCATTCTTAATTTGAACCAACGGTGACGTGAAATGACTATATGAGTGATTCTAACATGAACATTCTCTAAGATTGCCTCTCCCCTAAATTAACCCACTTTGTTTTGCAATTTCATCAAACAATGTTGCAGTCATAGAATTTTCAAAACTCACACACACACATAAGTGAATTAATGAATTAATTATAGAAGTCATCTAAAACCCTACAAATCTATTCTAAATGTTCATCTCATAGTAGATGCAATCACTATAGCGAGGGAAAAATGTTCTTTTGATCTCTCAATTGTTTCTACTTCTACAATGCAGAAACAATTCCTATTCTATTCTCATTTTCAGTTTAGTACAATACAATTCCTATTCTATTTTAAAAGTGACCAATTTTGTCCTTTACCTAATGCAGCCAAACATGAAACAACAACCTCAATTATTTAGAGGATACTTTAGAGCGTGAGGATGTACTTGGATGTGAGAGACCCCAACGATCACTATTTTCAAATAATTGAGGGAGAGCACCTGACAATCAGAGCTATATTACAGAACCAGGAACAACTGAAGAATCAAAATAACAATTCTCTGTTATAAAATACTAATCTTAACGTGTAGAGTAAAACTGCTCAATTTTGGTGATGAAGTATTTGAGCTCCTTTTGAATGTTCAACCTTGAAGGTGACAACACAATGTCTTTCCAGAAGGAACCACTCTGGTAAGCGGGGTGAGGGTGGTTATACAGGTTACATATGGAGTCTGAATCCTCGTTCAACCTCCCCACCACTTTCAAGACATTTATCTCATCTGGATCAACCAATAGTGTTTTATCTCTGTCCTTCCATCCTATCAACTTATGCCATGATACTTCAAGTTAGCATATAATATATATATGTGTGTGTATGTATGTACTTATCTAAGCATTCTTGCATCAGAATATGTTCACACCTAAAAAAATTGTACCCTCTAATTCCATTTTGTAAGATAAACTTTCCTTTTTGATATGTCCCAAAAATATGAACACACCCTAAATTGAACTCTTTTTCTATTTCATTTTTTTATTTAATCAATCATTTTACATTTTCACCTTTTGAGGACGCATAGTACTTTTCTTACCTTTTGGAGGTCCAATTGTAAAAACACAACTATATCATTAGTTTTCTTAAAACTCGTGTCAAACCCAAATGTATCTTACATTTTGGGATGAAAGGAATAGTACTCATGCAACATATAAAGTTTAATGCTCTAATTTGCAGAACTTAAAATATAAACATGCATCTGCCTAAATATTGTAATAAAGATAGAGAGTACAAGAATGTGTACTTTGGGAGGGCCTTCAAGAGTATTTGTGCTATACAATCTAGCATTATCCACCAAGTTGCAGTATGTTGTGAATGCATTTGCAAACCTCTTGTGGGACTTCAGTTGTGAATTTACTCTCACTGCTCGTCTACACATGATAGCTCTCCTGCTCAAATTCACACAAAGGGAAACAAATATTTATTGGAATCAAGTCATAAAACTTATTGGTTATTTGGATAAGAAAAAGTGATGCCTGTTTATAATTAGTGCTTATGATAAGGCAATTTTATTTTAAAATTACCATCTCGTAACATAATTTCTTAGCTTGTCATGGTTTAAGGGCACAAAAGGTGAAGATAATTGGAGTAAAAGATGCACTTCTTTGTCCATGGAAAAAGCTCACTATGACTTGACATGCATGCTTGTCAAGAACAGTGAAATCATGAGGTTAATATTTAATTGAGCCACACAATCTATCGTCAAAAGGAAAAAGTAAGTTTATTTTGGGAGTGAAGAAAGGAAAAGGGAACCTTTTTTAGGGACGGGAATTGTATAAGAAAGCTTATTTTAAATACCTTATTCCTCTAATAACAGCTAAATAAGCATCACAAACAACTCCAACCAACTCTATTCTGTACGCTCTTCTCTTTTTAACCCCATCAACAGGGCAAGGTTCCTCGTCAATCCTTTCCCAGTAGTTCTCAGTCACAGTTCCATCATCTTCCACCCTGTAGCCAGCTCCCATCCTATAACGGCACCGATGAACATTTCTCGCCATTGTTATTGTCTGCACCACAAATGGTATCCAAGAAAGTGTGCCATCCATGATCACATCCCTTCCTTCATTCAGCGCGGTCACAAGCAGAGATGATGCTGCATCTGTAGATGATTGATGTACCTGCCAAAACAGTGAGCTGCTCGCATTATACAATAGGCCCTTTAGAAAAAAGGTGTTCAATTGTTGAAGCTAATTTGATGAGATTAAATAATCCATTTTTACATGTTTGGCGAAAGAGTTTTTCTACTCTAAGTCCTCACACTTTTGGTCCTCCATCTATTATAACTATGAGACTTTTGTGACAAAATTCAATGACAAGTAGCTAAAGAATCAGAGCATTAAAACTGGATAGGTTCAAAAAGTGAAAAAGTTAAGAAATGGGTACCAAAAGTGTCATTGACACAATGTCAGGGTAAACTTTTTTGGCGAGAACGAGATCGATACTTAGTCAAATTTTAGATGATTTAAACTAATGAATCATAATTATAGACCATATTAACTATATGTTAACATGACAGTGTTCTGCTTTCTTTTTCCTTTTTGTGTGTATATCTGTTGGGGAGGATGGAGATTGGTTGAATGAGAGATACGTATATACCAATTCTGATGTTTGAAGCATGTCATGATGACCCCTTGAGCTTAGGGCTTTGTAGATAACGTCTGATTCTTTAAAGGCATCTGCCTCTATTATAACTGCATTGCCACCTGCTCCAACCCAGAATGGTCTACAACCAACACACAAGCACCTCAGATTGCTGATCAAGTATATTATACACAACGATCTCTTGGTTGTAACTGGTTTATATTAAGGGGTTTTTTCAAAATATTACTAGAATGATGCTCTGATACAAATTTATAGATAAATGTTCATTGCTCACCACAAGTCACTGCATTGGTCAAATATGGTCACTACGCATTAAGGAGGTCACAAAAAATTAGGCATAATAATATTTATAAATTGTAATTAAAATACATAAGGATTTTCTGAGAATAACTAATAATAATGCAAAAAAAGAAGAATAAGTTAATAAAATAAGAACAATAATTTCATGCTAGTGGGACAAGACCCTTTAGCAATATATTCCCCCCCCCCCCCCAATAAAAAGAGTTGTGTTTGTATTATAGTACTATTCTTAGTACTGCAAACGTTACTCTCTTTTAGACCCTGGTAGTATGATTTTCCACTGAAAGAAAGGCAGGCGGTCTTACTCTTTTAGGATGTCCTTGAGCACAGTGCTTTTCCCAGCTCCCATGCCACCACCCATAAAGAGAAGGACTGGGCTCCTATCTTTGTGAGCCATAGGAACCATCACATCTGTGCATTGCGATTCATCGGCACCAACAAGTCCAATGGCTTTCATCTCCTCCACTAAGGTTGTAAACACTCTTGCAACCTTCAGATTCTTAGTCACCCTCTCAAATCTCTGCTCTCTTTAATATTTCCATGAAAATGATATCTCATGTTATAAAATTAAAGTAATATTCATCCATTTAAATTGGGTTTTACTTTATGTTTACCCCCACTGCTCAAAGTATTGTCATTTCAAGAGGACAGGAATAAGGAACACAAAATATGTTGTTGCTTAACTTTAGTAATAGTAGCAGTTGTGATACTATGAAAGTAATGTTCTTTGATATCTTAATTTAAAATACGATAAGAAATCGAACAATATGGAATTAGAAACACACACATACCTAGTAGCTGCCATTACAATGTTCTTGAGCTTCTTCTTTGGCTCAGTATGATCAGCAGCATTTAAAACCTGGAAATAAGGTAAGACACAGTGTTGGGGTGATTATATTTCACTAAAAATAACAATAAAAATTCCAACTCTCACATAAAATGTTTTTATTACGAGTTGGCTAAGTCGGTTTGAATTTTATATTTGGCCGGTGGGAGATGAACATGTCCAAGATTGTGACTCGTTGTGAAAGATCCATCTTGAAACACGTGCTCTTTTTTAGGCTTAGTTGCTTGTTTGATCAAAATAGACACTAATACTCTATTAACTCATAGGAAGAAGAGCCAGAAACCTTGTATGTGAGCTTGTATCTTTATATTCAGTGTATGTGAGGTGAATTAACAGCTTTGATCAAGTTTTCACAACTAGGGGTGACATCTAGTACCTGGCTGATCATATTAGAAGCTTGGCTCCAATGAAATGCAAAATAACTAAGGATTAATCTTTCAAGCTCTTCCACAAGCTTTATGAATAGAGAATCCGCACCCGATTCAGTCGCAAAGAAATTATATATGTCCTCTTCACACCCTTCTGTTTTTCTTATATAATCAGAAGCTAATTTGCACAAGGTTGGACATTCTCTCTTATCTGCAAATCCCATTTGCCTAGCTGCCACAATTCCACATAGCATATATTTCAAACCCACACAACAATTTAGAAACAGACAGTACAAGCTAATTAATTAAAACAATGAATAGACATCATTACCTTAATGCTAATTAAAGAATCAATTGTCTTAAAACAAGTTAATAACTCTATAAGTGCATGCAAAAAACAGGCTTTCATATGTATTCTACACATTAATTAGACATCTAATAAAAGTACAATAAGAGAATGGAGACTCAGATAAAATATTGATTCAGATTGATATTAAACATTACCTACATAATGAGGAAATGCTTCAAGCTTGAGAATTTGGCCGGAATCAGAGAGTTTAATTCTTGGAACGATTTTCAGGTCCCTGATTTCCTTGATACGGAAATGAATAACAGCTGCTAAGATTAATCCCATGGAGGAGGCAAGAAAGATTTGCGTACATGTTGGCCTTGCGTGATATTCAGAGGATGAAGAAGATCCAGCAGCAAGGTATTTGATCAAATGCCAAGAAGGTGAAGAAGAACAGTGGAGAGGAGGCGGAGGAGGTGAACCCATGGTGTTCCCCATGCTGATCATGCATGCATTAATGCCACAAATGGTACTTGTCTCTTTTCTTGTTAGAATATTCAACCAAATTAAAAAAAAATAATACAGAAAGGAGAGCAAAGTATAAAATGGCTATGACGGAAGTGAATTCAAATATCCAACGACGTATGTTTGCAAATCAGGTGAAGAAATAATACCTATACATCCTCCAATTCTTTATCGATGACAAATGTTTTAATTTGATACATAAAACTAGAAATTTAAATGCAAAAAGCCAAAAATGACAAAAATATTACTCTACACTATTTTTCTTTTAATTTTCCGGACACTTTTTAATATCGGAGTTATTGTTTATCGTCTTCCTCAGCCCTTTTTAAGGGTGTGACCCTCTTGTGATAACGAAGTTCAAACACATGAACCACTTTGATAAAAAATGAAACACATGACCCTATCTGAAAACGGGTCCAACCACAAGTACTTTTTCCGTACTTTTTCCGATTTTATTCATACGTAATTATTGTAAATATCGTACTTTCCCCACTTTAATATCGTAATTTTTGTTTTTTATCTCTTTCATTTCTTACCCTTGGTAAATATTTAATTAAAATTTGGGAAAGCAAATATTACAATTACTTATATTTTGGGGAGGCCAAAATATTTGGGCGGGGGCATCATAATATCATGCCCCCGCCCAAATATTTTGGCCTCCCCAAAATATAAGTAATTGTAATATTTGCTTTCCCAAATTTTAATTAAATATTTACCAAGGGTAAGAAATGAAAGAGATAAAAAACAAAAATTAAAAGTTAAAAAGTGACACATAGTTTAGGATGTTTTTACTTGGACTGTAATTTGCTGGTCTGGTCTGGTTTCTTTGTATTTTTATAACTATCCAAGTCTGATCTGGTCTGGTCTGGGAGGAATTACAATACAAATAAAAACATCCTTATAGGGAAGACTATAAAATAAGTCCCCGTCTGGACGGACAGACCAGAACCGCCGTGCGGCCGGCGGCGTTTGGCCGTCTTCCCGCTGGAATTTTTTGGTGAAATTTTTATGAAATGTTCTTCATCAAGTCTAGTTTATCCACAAAAATATCCAGCTAAAAACTCAATCTATAGGTCGTCAAATGATTTTTTGAAGTTGACTGCGTTTTTCTATGTCTAATTGTGTGGCTCCATTAATGTGCATCGCTTCAGATTATTCTCATTTCTCGCGAAAAGAAGTGAGAATCATACCCTATATATATTTCAGAGTAATTATTTTCAAGGTCTTTTGTCATTAATATTTTACACATAGATCTACGTTGCAGCCTTTGAAAGCCACAGATTAGAACATATGACCCACCATTAGGCAGTTAGGCAGATATAAGCCGTGAAAAACATACCCCACCATGAGTTGGTTAAGATCAAGAAGCGTTAGCCCGGTTTGACAACGTGAGAGGGATATATAAATAGATACGGTATGAGACGAAAGAGTGAATCTACATTTAAATATTGATTCAATAGGCCTTGTGAATTAATAAATAGATAAATAATACCACATTTATTCCATTGAGATCGAGACAAGTGCAATTATTAAAAAAATGTTGAAGGAAATTCTGTGTAGTGTGTTATCGTGTATATAGAATATGTATTAGGGTCATTTTATGTAAACCATCTATTATATGGGCCCATTGGCCCATCTATGTAAACCCTAATATCTCCCTATTTATAGGGCCTTTGATAATGAAACTATACACCATTCTCCCTATAACACGTTATCAGCACGTAACCCTAAACCTATTTTTTTCTCTCGTTCTCCCTACACTCAATCCGCAGCCGCGCCTCCAGCAGTCCAGCCGCGCCGCCAGCAATCCAGCCACGCTTGGCCGCCTCCCAACACACCGACCATCGCCCGACCTCCCCCCTTCCTAGCCTGCGACTCACCAATTCCCGGATCTGTGTTGAGGTATTTTTTTACTCAAAAACCATTGCAGGATCTTATGTATATGATTTATTGCATCATGTTTACCATTATGATGAACATCATTGATTTTTTTAGAGATTAAGTTGTCAATTTTTTTGAGATCCATTTCTTGCACCCCAAGTGTTTGATGATATGCCTCATCCTTTTTTTTGAGAGATAGATGCAATTTTTTATTATAATTCCGTAATGCTATATGTTATAATCATATAGTTGGAATTAATATCACATTATGCATCCCTCTTCGTTTTTATACATCTATGTGATCATACTTTTTCGTAAAACTATATGTCATATACATATAGTTGGAATCAAAGATCACACGATTAATCTTATTTTCATGTATTTTATATGATTATATGATTATACTTTCCGTAAAGCTATATGTTAGATACATATAGTTGGAATTAAAATCATATTATGCACTTTTTTAATTATTTTAAACATATTATGTGATTATATTTTTCCGTAATGCTATATGTCACTTACATATAGTTGGAACCATAATCACGTAAGATTACTATATTTTATGCCTAATCCGTTCATTAGACCAATATTAATACTTTCTATATTAAAAACACCATATAACATCCTATAAAAATCTCTATGATTTTTTTAAGGAGGTGAATATATATCTCCTCACTTCGATGCATTGTAAAATATTGTCTACAAAGAGACATACTCTCATGATTATTTTTTTGTGATAAAGAATTTTCACACAAAGAATCGATTTTGTTTATACACAAGTTTCTGTTTTATATCATATGAACTACACAAGTTCATGAATGTACTCATGATCATGTAATTTTTTTAAGATGGTTGACCATCTCAACTTGTATTTGGCATTTTGGCCTCAGACGGATTTGAGTACCATTATTCAGTTTTCTATATTAATTATTTGTGTGATAAAAAATTTCCACACAAGGCTCTACAAATTTAATTGACCAATCAATTTGACCGGAGTTTGACATTATGCACTCAAATGAACTTGAGAATCTTCAACGCTTATTTTAGAATTCAATGCTACTCCGGCACACTTTGTGAAAAGCAAATCACAAAAGCTTATTTAATTTGAACTAACCATTTTCACACATACTTCTCTAGACATATACTAATGCACCAGTATATATTAAATAATTATGTAACTAACTAGCTTTTAGTTGGCACTAGTGAATGATGTTTATTGTTATTGTGTCTTTTTTTTTTGAAATGCAATTACAATATTTTTTCGGGGATAAAGAAACCTCCCAAGAGTTATTTGGATAAAGAAATTTCCAAATAAAAAAAATGAAAATATAAATTTTAAAGTAAATCCCTTAATATAAGAGGATTAAATGTGATTATCTCGTCAGGATATATATAACTTGAAAATATACTTTTAGTTTTTATCTTCGTAGAATATCTAAAGAATAAGAGATTCACCGCATGAGAATATAAATTAAGTTTTATGACTGTCTACTATTTTGAGAATAAGAACTGATGGAGTTATGGGACCAGGCCCAGAGCCTAATCGGCCCAGGCCCCGAACTTGGACCAGCGGGCCCAAGCCCAGCAACCTAGAGCTCGAGTCGGCCCAACCAATCAGGGCAATCAAGGAGCGGAAGCCCAAGAGAGCCTGTCGACCAGCCAAGTGGGGAGCCCGCCTTCCAGCCCAGTGGGGAGCCTGCCTTCCAGCCCAGTGGGGAGCCTGCCTTCCAGCCTAGCCAGGAGCCTACCGACCACCAGCCCCGCTAGGAGCCTGCGATCCAGCCCAACTGGGAGCCTGCGGTCCAGCCCAGGTGGGAGCCTGCCTCCAGCCCATCGGGGAGCCTGCCTTCCCGCCTACCCGGGAGCTTGCCTTCCAGCCTACCCGGGAGCCTGCCTCCAGCCCGGTGAGAAGCCTTCCTCCAGCCTAGCGGGAAGCCCACCGTCCAGTCCAGTAGGAGGGAGCTCAAGCGTCCAGCCTGCCAGCCAGGCTGACCTGCCAGCCAGGAAGAGTAACGGCCAACAATCAATGCGCTATTAATTATGTGTTTAATTCTATATTAATGTTGTAATTAATTAGTCATTAGTGTCTATGGCAGTTACCATTTGTAATCGCCTATAAAAGGCAAGTCCGAATTTCAAATGAGATATGCTATTTCTGGCTAACTTTCCATATTCGTACTTTCCTAATTCCTGCTTGAGTGTCGTACGTAGCTTTCCTAAAAGCCTACGAGCGTCCTATTTTGGACCAACATTGGTGCTTTCATTGAGAGCCTCTATTGTCTCTCACATCACTTGAGTAGGAATCACACAGGAAGATGGCCGGAATCTCGTCTCGACGTGACCATGTCTCAGTCCACACCGAGGAGTCCACCCGGTCTGGCCACCAGCGTGCCCTCGACAACCATGCACAGGGCAGGAGGGCGGCGCGCCAAGGCAACCTTCGGAACCAATTATCAGGCCACGGCGACCTAAGGGCGACGCTCAACCACACTCAAGGTGAGCGCTCGGTCCGCAGCCGGCGGGGGAGAGGCCGACGTCATGCTCCGCGCATGGACCCGGCTCGACTCAATGCCGGGGTTGAAGCCCTGCAGGGGAAGAAGGAATCATTGTCGACGTCAAGAGGTCAAGAAAAGCTTCAGCCACCTGTTCGGTCTAAAACAGGGGAAGAAGGAATCATTGTCGACCTTCCTAGCGAGGTGGAGGGCCGAGTCAGTCAAGGTTCAGGGCCTTGATGACAGGACCGGGGTGGCCATGCTCACAAACTCTATCTGATCGGGCGAGCTTTACAAAGATTTCGTCAGAAGTCCCCCTACCTCGTACGAGGAGGCGCTCGGCCGTGCCGACCGGCAAGCCGAGGCGGAGGACGCCTTGCAGAGGAAAAGAGATGAGGAAGAAGGTGCAAAAGAAGAAAAGAAGAAGGAAGCCGGTTCGGGTGCTGAGAAAGCTGACGGCAAAACTAGCAACAAAAACAACAAATACAAAGGTAACAAAAGTAGAGGCAAGGGCAAGGCGGACGTCCCGAGCGGACCGCTACAGCCCGTCAAGCAATTGACTCCACTTGCTCAGCCGGTCGGGGCCATCCTCGACTACGCGGAGGAGCAAGGTTTAGTCGACTTTCCTGAGGAGTGTGATGTGGTGACTGCCAAGCGCAACCACGACCAATATTGTCGATTCCATCGGAGAGCAGGGCATGATACAGATGATTGCGTCATTCTCCGGCGGCAAATTGAAGAACTCATCCAGAAAGGGTACCTGGGCCAATTCGTTGGCAAACAAGGAGGCATCCCGCAGAAGAGGAGCCTGACGTGGCAGCGGTCCGACCAAACTACCACGTCAAAGGAGACACCGCCTGCCAAGAAGCGGGAGCTCGGCGCCTTCTCCGAGGAAGACGATGCCGACCTAGGGAGCGGCCCCCGGAAGTACCATCGATGTTCGTTCATATTCGGGGGACCCCAGGGAGGCGACACCTCTGGAGAGCGGAAGCAGTGGGCCCGAGCCCTATACGTCGGGGAGATAACCAGGGCTCCCGCCGACAAGAGGGTGAAGAGGGACCCCATCTTCTTCACCGACGCAGATTTGCCACCGATGCCTCCGCCGCACAGGGATGCCTTGGTCATCAAGGTCGAAATCAACAACACGATCGTCCACCGAGTCCTGGTGGACAATGGGAGCTCCGTTAACATCATGTACTATGACACCTTCCAAGGTCTCGGGCTGGACCGAAAAGACTTGA